CAGGACTCGCAGTTGTTTCCACCACTGTCTTCATGGTTGCAAATAGGCCGTGTTGACGAGTGGCTCAAACGGGGAAGTCGAAGTCTCAACCACCTGATATTAGTTAGAAATTCACAATAGTTCAGAGCATCCCGCCGGCTGAGTGTTTACGCGAGTGACTAGATGAATAATATTTAGTTGGGTATACGAGTTAGAGAAAGTGACAGTGATAACCAACCTGTGCTCTACGTATTTATATTTAAGACCAAATCTTCTACGCGCCGGTGGTTCATTGATGGAATCTTCCACAACAACTCACTGAGGCGCAATCGTTAACAATAAACCTGTGCATACGCTTATTTCCTACTTATTCGGGATTTTTCCAAAATCATGCATTACGTAATCCATGTGTTGCAAGGATTTCTACATTTAAAAAGTATGCATTAATTTACTTCGTTAATTATCACCCCATTGACACGTTGATACTGCCTAGTGATTGTTAACAAACATACCAGTGCCGCTTGATTGGTAAATTGTTGTGTATTCTAATAAAGATGCTATCTATACATATATTAGAGTACAGCCAGACATCAGTATCTAATTGAACGATAATTATTTCTTTGCTCAATGCTTCTGCTTTCCAAACATAGAATTTGGTAGAGTCCAGTCAGGCTAGTATATGTCATTGATTATCCAAATATACAAGAAGGAAGACAAGTACTATTGTGATAATCACACGGCGATTAACGTGACTAATATGGTGGCATCTAAAGTTCTAGGCTCAATAATAATGCCTCCAATACTAAGTGGTGCTCTGGAGGCACAAACACGAGAGAATCAGGGTGGGTTTAGACCAGGAAGAGGGTGTATTGATCAGATCTTCACCCTCAGACAGATTCTGGAACAGAACATAGGCATACTTACTGTCGGCGTCCAACAGTGGGCATATTTCTTGACCTGAAATAAGCATTCGAATCCGTTGACCAAGATGTACCATGCCGATGTTTGGCTGTGAAGGAAATACTGAGAAAATACGCCGCACTGATCTAGGCACTCATTCTACTCGAATTCATGCAGTCAGCCAGGTAACAGCCTATGGAGATTTGTAATCTGATAACTGTGGTGACAACCACTGATGTCACCAACCATCAGGGATGCCAACTTCTGTTTAATTCTACATCATACAGGTACTAATGGAATTAACCCTAACTGACTTCAGAGACTCAGACATTGACTTGTTACCAGAGGATAATATCACCGACTCAGAATATGCAGATGATGAAGTCCTGCTCCTAGGTGAAGGCGATGACAAAATACAGCAGAGTCTTCTGAACACCTTGAGGTACAATCTACGAATGTTTGCCATGCGATTCGCTCCCGCTGTCAAATGTAAGATGATGTTACAGGACTGGACTACACTGACTCCTACCTTAAAGATAGGGAGTGAAGTGGTTGGTGGAGTGTGTTGACCACTTCACTTATTTGGGAATTTGCATCAGCCAATGCCAGCAGGTTGATCGCTGACGAAATCTCAGTACGGATACAAAAGGCTCGTTCGACACATGCCACTTTCCGCCGTCTCCGGAGTAGACGTGATAACAAGAAGTCTTCGCAACGACCGTGAACAGTCGTGCGCAACAAAAGCGACGGAAGGAGATGGAAAAGGCTTCGGCGATTTGTAGCGCAAGACAACAATTTAGACTTATCAGAGAAGCAGGTAGCTAAAGGCAAATCATAAGTGGAACAATCTATGACGAAAATGGCACCATAATTAGCTCCCAAGATAGACGACTCGGATGGTGGAAAGAACACTTTAAGCAGGAATTTAGAGAACAATTGTGGTTTCAATAAATTCTTCAGGCTCTACAATTATAAATCCATTATTTTAAGCATACAATAGACAGCCAATAAAGGCAAGTTAGAATCATATCCGCTTATTTCACCTCTCGTTGGTATCAGCGGGACCACGGCTCTCAGTGACAGTATATGGCCCTTTCCACTTCGGAAGGAGTTTCCATGAACATGGTCTGTATCCAACTGTATACTTTCTTCCTCTACACACTTTACTTCATCGCCGACCTTAAGGCTTATGCATCCCATCTTTTCTCCCAGCTCAGATTTCGCGGCGTCTATCTTCTCTTTACGCTTTACATTCCTGACGGCTTCTTTCCGTTCCGTTCGCAACCACCTCATCATATTCCCCTCCTGGTGAACGAAACAGGTCGTACTGTGTATTGGCAGTCTTGCATTCCTACAAAACATCAAATCAAATGGTGACTTCTTTGTTGGTTCCTGGTTGGATAGAAGCACGACGTGCTAGTAAAATCAATGGAAGGAAGATCCGACTCCCAGTTACCACTCTTCGAGGTCAACCACTCCTTCAGTGTACGGTTATTTCTCTCTGTCAAACCATTCGTTTCTGAATGATGATATGGTCTTGTTCTGGTCATCTTGATAGTCAGTTGTTACAAACGGGATGTATATGCGCTTGGCTTTCAAAACAAGGACACTGATCTACCTGCCAGTCAGTATCGTCTTTGGTACACCGTGGTCTGCAACGATGTGTCCAACTACTGCATCAGTCACAGTTCTCGCGCGTTCACCTCGGATCACGATGGCGTTTACCCATCGTGTAGCGTGTTCCTCCATCACCAGGAGGTACTGATTGCCACTGGATGTCTGCGGAAACGGACCCACTACGTCTACACACGAGAAGTCGCCTACTGCCGTGAATGGAATCGACTACAGAGGCGGTCGTGTGCACCGATCTTCCTTCATCAACTGGCACTGCGGACATTCAAGTACATATTTCCCCACATCTTCTATCACATCTGGCCAGTACATGCTTTGTCTCAAGAGGTCAGTTGTTCTGGCTACTTCTATATCTGCTGGCTGGTGACATTCTTGTATCACCTCATGGCGTGGAGACTGAGGTATTATCGCCAACCAGCTTCCATCGTTCTCTCGCTAAGTTACAGTTCTGTGAATGTTCACTCTTAATCGATCCCTCTGTCTCAGTAGTATAGCCGGATCCTTACTCGCCGTAGAAGTTGATTCACTTCTATTCCGTTAGTGATCTCCTGTATTACTGTATTCAGGGTAGTGTCCGACTTGTGACTGATAGCATGTCTGAATGCATCTTGTTACAATGCATCCACTCCATAAGCAATCTCCGGTAACTCAGCTTCGTCATCTCGTCTAGATAAGAAATCGGCCAAACAAGTTCCGTTGCTGGGGACGTGTGAGATGATGAAGTCATAATTTCGCAGGCTCAACATCCACCTGGACAAGTCCCCACGTGGGCCTTCCGCCATCCTCAGAAAATCTAGCGACTTGTGATCACTTTAGATGTGCAACTGTTGGCCGAGTCAATACGGTCTCCATTTCACCATGGATAAAATTTCATTTTGATAAAGTCACACAGTGTTATACAGTAATATATACTGATGACGTTTCGAGCACAATTTATTCCTCATAATCATATCAGTGCCCGAGTTTCATCCTTATAACGGTCTGCATTTGTCTACCGCCCATACATACTATTGCTAAACATTCTTTCTCTATCGTTGAATACTTCTGCTCTGTGTGTTAAAATACCACTGACATATTCGACAACTGCTTCACCCTGTCCAAGTACTACGCCTTTCCCATAGTCACTCGCATCTGTGTACACTGTGAACTGTTTTCCCGATACAGGCAGTCTTAGCGTCATTTTCCTGTCGTTTAACTGACGTTTAATACTGTCAAATGTCTTCTGCGAATCTTCCGACCACACAAACTTCAACTCATCATCTAATAGTCTGTACACCGGGTCTGCTATCTTGTTGAAGTTTGCACAAATAGACTATAAAATGCAGCTCTCCCGACGAACTGTCCTAGCATTCTCTTGGAATCCGGGCCCGTAATGGTCTTTATCGACAAGATTTTCTCCGCTAGCGGTTTTATCTCACCGTTCCCCACTCCTCTATCACCCAACACGGTAACACTCCGTTTGGCTATCTGAGATTTTGTCCTGTCGGTGAGCAGTCCAAACTCTTCAATGACTTTTAACACGGCTTCAACATGGCTCACATGATCGCTTTCGTTTTGACTGCAGATGAACAGGTCATCACCGTACACCTCCACATTCTTCAACTTTCTGATCAACAACCTAACGACTCCTCTGAAGGCAAACAGTACACCTGCTAGTCGTCCAAATAGCATGTGTTTAAACCGATGTTCTTTCTGACCCATGCGATGAACGCCGTCTTATCTCTGTCGCTCTGCTTTATCCGTATCTGACAATATCGTGACCGGAGGTCAAGCACTGTAAAAATTCGCGCCTTGTATACAATACACGCTATCTACTACAGCTGGCATGCCACACACGGTCTCAGCTCTGTCATGCTGTTTAGCTGTCAGAAATCCATGCAGGATCTCTAATTCCCATCTCCTTTGTTCACTAAAACAACTGGATAGTTATACGGGCTGTCAGCTTCTTTTTCTCTAATACCATCCTGCAAAATCTCCTCAATTTAAATGTCTCTCTACCTCACACCCATAAATATCACCTCCACGATTTCACGAGTAGTTGAATCGATTGAAAACAATCAAATCAGTCAGTATTTACTCCCTAATGACACATTTAAGCTTAAGCATTTCAAACAAAGAGTACTGGGTATCAGTCACAATGACAACACCACACACAATCACTCACAGGAGATTATTGCAGGTACATCCCGTTGGCAACTCCCGTACCAAAAACATTCAAGTGCCATCCATCAAATTACACACTTTTAAGTCCGGATAATCTTCACCTCTACATACACTCACTACCCAGTAATTAACCTCATCCATCCATCCTCTCTAGGATTATAATATTATCCTACCTGCGAATGAATCTTCAGAATACATTCATTCGATAAAACAAACATACTATCTATCTTCAATCTGATTTCACCCACCCTACTCATCACCGGTTGGTTGCGTAAAACTTCGTGATATGTACAGCGGCGGAAAAAGGGAAACAAACCAGAACTTACAATTTCATCACCTTCCAGTCTTCCTGCCAGATCATTATTGTCATTGACTCTGATACAGTCTGACTTGACGCGTTTTCTGGGATTCCCCGGTATAATCCAGTCTGCGCCGAAATCTTTCGGCTTTCGTCTCCGCTTCCTGTTCTCTTCACTATTTGACAGGCCCACCTATACGGAGAAAAAGCAATCACAATCAAAGAAAGCACGAACACATACATCACACAACTGAATTCACGTGTGAATATAATTATTTAGAGAATGATTATTTTATTATTTTTGTTAGTACTCCGTCTCTAATTACATGTCATCTTTTTAAAATAATTTTATTCTAATTGCCACTTCAGTTTTACTTAGAAGTTATCATTGTGGAAAGCGGTTTGCTTTCTTTAAGAATCTGTTATGTAATAAACCTGTGCATACGCTTATTTCCTACTTATTCGGGATTTTTCCAAAATCATGCATTACGTAATCCATGTGTTGCAAGGATTTCTACATTTAAAAAGTATGCATTAATTTACTTCGTTAATTATCACCCCATTGACACGTTGATACTGCCTAGTGATTGTTAACAAACATACCAGTGCCGCTTGATTGGTAAATTGTTGTGTATTCTAATAAAGATGCTATCTATACATATATTAGAGTACAGCCAGACATCAGTATCTAATTGAACGATAATTATTTCTTTGCTCAATGCTTCTGCTTTCCAAACATAGAATTTGGTAGAGTCCAGTCAGGCTAGTATATGTCATTGATTATCCAAATATACAAGAAGGAAGACAAGTACTATTGTGATAATCACACGGCGATTAACGTGACTAATATGGTGGCATCTAAAGTTCTAGGCTCAATAATAATGCCTCCAATACTAAGTGGTGCTCTGGAGGCACAAACACGAGAGAATCAGGGTGGGTTTAGACCAGGAAGAGGGTGTATTGATCAGATCTTCACCCTCAGACAGATTCTGGAACAGAACATAGGCATACTTACTGTCGGCGTCCAACAGTGGGCATATTTCTTGACCTGAAATAAGCATTCGAATCCGTTGACCAAGATGTACCAT